CTTCTCACCAACTAACATCTGTCAGACATTGGCCATGTGTTAATTTATTTGCTTATTTTCTATTTATTTACCTATTTATTTAAAATATATATTTATCTGATTGAGTTGTTTATGTATTTATAGATAATGCGAGCAGCATAAGAGCAGACAAGTTGGCCTCCTTTGTTCACCAAAAAATATCGATTCATCTATTTATTTATTTATCTATATATTAACAAATCTATTTGTTTACCTATTTGGTTATTTTTGTACTTATTTGTCATGTATTTGTTTATGTTGATCAAGATGCTTATCTGTCTCTTCCCCTTTGAGTTGACGTCAATAAAAATAAACTTTCTCTGAGCAAAAGTAAATACATTTCTGTATTTTTCTTTGTAACAAAAAGTAAAAAAGTATGCAGATTTTTATTTAAAGTAAAATTAAAAACTTGCATAATATTGGAGCCTTGTTTAGATTTCTCAACAAGTGCCTGTTACAGAAAGTACAAGATAGGAAGAACTGAGACTTAGAGACTTAAAGAAAATAGTCATTCGAGTGAACAATAGGCTATCATTTTAACAGTGAATCTTCATGCTGGCCTTTAAGTTAGTTCAAATTAGTTTTGCCTAATTTCTGAACCCATCTAACAACAAGCAGCTAACATAAACAGATATTAGTCTGTTTTTGTTAATCTGTTAATCTGATCTGATTTTGTCTGTCCCGTTCAATCTAACCTGTGGGACCTTAATTCAGACAGACAATGACATTTTCCCAAAATATTTAAGGGAAAAGTTTAAAGATACCTCATGGAGGGCAATCGAGGCAGGATGCCTCGCAGGACGGAAATGCAAACGATATTCTAAAAAATAATTTAAAAAGCGACTAGGAAAAAAATGTATATATATATACATAGTGTATATTTATATTTCATCTGCATGAAAATTAACGTTTATTGAGGGTTTTCTAATAATATTGCCGATAGGAATATAGCCTATAGGCCAATATATAAGGTGAATAGATTAGGACCAAGTACAGAGCCTTGTGGGACTCCATTATATCTTTGGCTTGTCTAATGTTTCCCTTTATATTTAAGTAACTTGTTAATTACCAAGTGAGACCATACATCTTGGTATTTCGTACATTCAGTAAGTAAGATATACTGTGAGTGGTATTGGTGTAGAAATAATGTTTCTGCATGTTGTTTGATACTGTAATATAAAAATGTCTACATCCCTTTTGTTTATGTGACAGGAATAAAAATAATCAACTTACAATTTTCTTTTCCCAAAAAATATATTTTTTATTATTAAAACGTAACAAATGTAGAAAACATACACAGTTTTGCTCAAAGCAAATTTAGTATAAAATATGAAAGCATGTTCAAAAAGTCCAAAAAGACAAATACATAATCAATGAATACACAGATATCTACGTATCCCCATGAATAAATAAATAAACAAATAACAAACAAATAAATAAATACATCAATAAATACATAAATAAGTTTATGATTAAATAAATAAGTTTATGATTAAATAAACTGCATGTAACAAAAATAGATTACCACATTGGTGATAGACAGAGATTACTCTTAGAGTAAGAGAACAAGCATGCTCTCATGCTGCTTACATTATAAAAAAAAAAACCTCAATATTTAAATAAATAAAAAGGTAAAAAATAGATAAATAACTAAAGGTAATAATGTTCGCAAATAAATTAACACATGGTCATTGTGTAACAGGTTAGTTGGTGAGAAGAGAAGAAGCCAGCAGGTCTGCTCTCACAAGATGGGTTTTCATCTTGTTTCTGATCAGCTCCCAGGCTTCAGCACTGTGGTCCTGCACACAGAAGAATATCATCATTATTAAAGTGTTATAGATAGATAGATAGATAGATATATAGATAGATAGATAGATAGATAGATAGATAGATAGATAGATAGATAGATAGATAGATAGATAGATAGATAGATAGATAGAGAGATAGATAGATAGATAGATAGATAGATAGATAGATAGATAGATAGATAGATAGATAGATAGATAGATAGATAGAGATAGACAGACAGACAGACTTACCATTTTTTTCAGGACATGGCTTGAGAGTCTTTGGAAATACCTGTGTAGCTTCCTGTTCTCCTTCTTGTGGGACCCAATCTAAATGTATTACAATAAAATGAATATTAAAACACCTGTCATTTACTCACTGGCACATGTGTCGTGTCAGGACTTTAATGTAAAAGAGATCTAATTAAATGTTGTGTACTTACACATGAGCGAAGGCCTTGTTCCTGCCTGGTTAGCAACTGGAAGAAGTTCTCCTCTGTGTCTCCTCCCATGATGCTTTGCTGGTATCCTCCTCAAACAGGACAACCATCTCTTTCAGAATCTGAACAAGGAAATGGAGTCTGTCCTCAGCCTGGAAGAAGGTGATCAATCACAGATTACAAAAGGAACAGATGCACTGATTTCAATCAAACTAATTTGATATATTGAGAGAAAATGAAGCCATGTGTTTGGATTTTGATATTTATTCCAAAAGTTGAGGCTGACTTACTGATGCGTGGGACGCCTTTTTGTACAGACGGTAAGGGAAGCCCACTCCAGCATCCACAGTGGTGTTGGTGGAGTTGTTAGCCTGGCCCTGCATCACACACAAACACACACATCATGAAGTAAACAGTCAATAAAGTAAACTCATCTAATGACTTGAAACCAAAATCCAAAGAGGTGCACTTACCATGGTATCTATTAGATCCAAAGAGTTTTTACTGAACTGTTGGAATTTATGCTGCATCCATCTGCAGCTCAGAGAGGAGCCTGGAGTCCACAGACTGAGAGACAGGCACACGAAGAACATCCCGTTGAGCATTTTTTAAAAGGTACAAATGTTCTTTGTATGGAGAAAATAGTGATTTATTTTGTTGGCATAGTGGAAGTGAGGAACCAGAGCTGCAGCGCCTCATTTATACTGTAGGGCGCACCTATTTCATTTTCCTAATAGGCTACATGCGGGATTACCCGTTCAAATCAACCTCAAACTAACATGATGTCACACACTTTTCGGATTCTAGTCTCCTAATTATATGTGCAACATTATTTTATAGTTGCATTTGATTTTTTTTATTCAAGCTTAAATACTGCGCCACATTTTGAGAGGCTATACCGTCATACAATAAAGAGCATTCGAGTAACCTATACAATTAAACTCATCTCATCATTTATTATAAAACAGATTTGGTTTAATGTTTGGTGTAACGTAATTTGTTTTCAATTAATGTATAACACCATTATTTTTGTCTTGAATCATTCGTATTTCTAATTGGGTCTTTAAGTTGTTTTATTTTCACACTTAAAAACATTTTAGTTTAGTTTAGTGTTTTGGAGATTAGGATGCAAGAACATGCTTTTATACATAATAGTTTAATTTAAATCTTCAGGCTATTTTTGTGATTGAAATGTGTTTCAAATGTATAAATATGTGTTTTAAACAACAAACAAGTGTTCTTGTTATTGGCATATCAGTGTTTTACGGTTTCATTACATTTGTTATTCATGTTTACTATTGTGGATTTGTCTTACCTTATCACATTTTATTACCACACATGTCATAAAATGAAAGAAAGTGCTTCCCCCAAAGTGAAAGTTAATGTGACACCGAGCTGCGTTACGTAACACTGTGACGTTCTCAGACTGCAAAGTGAAATCACGTCATGACGTTTCTTCAGGAGACTTGAAAAGAGGAACAACAGATAAGCCTTTATTGAACTCCAGAGGGGGAATTCAGCTGTTTCCTTCGTATTTCATCATCTTTTTAGTGTATTATTACATTTCCATTTCCATCTATTGTTCTTGATTGGCTTAATTTTATTAAACGCATACAGTCACTATAATAGGCTGCATTTGTTCATTGTGTTAATATTCTAGTGCATGCTTTTTCTCCTTAAATAGCATGTGGGATATCAAACACTCCCTTTTTAAAGTAGCTTACATAAAAATAGGAAAATAAATACAAATCCAAACTACACAAGAGCAATAAAGTGAAAATCATAACAAGGTTGATGTTTTATGAATGTTGTATGTTGACACAGAAATACGAGAAGTTCAAGGGTTAACATTCAATGACAACGAATAAAGTAATAAAGTAATAGGAGATATCATTATTGGTATACAAATGCCCCTGTTGGCAGTTTTTGATTAATAATAGTTTGCAGTAAATCACTATGTTTTAAAAGTTACCAGTTGTTTGAGAAATTGATTGTTATTCATCAAAAACAACCCATTGTAGGTTGTAGATAATTTCATCTCTCTATCTGTTTAATATATTTTCACATTAATTGTACTTGCCTGCTTATAATTTATGACACAAACAGAAACATGCTAAAGTAATTTAAAGGTGTGTGGGTAATTTGGTGGAGTTACTATACAGTTTACAAGCTGCGTAGTGTGTGATGAAAACTTCCAGGAGCTGTGTTGTAACAGTCAGGAACTCTGAGAGGACAGACTGGGAACATGAAGTCTCTCATGTCAGCAATACAGCCACAACATCAGCACGCCTCAAAAGCTGTGTGCTGCCTTTACGTGTGACTCGTAAACAATAACTACCACTGCAGAACGACTTTTACCGCTTTTTCTACTTGGTTCAGGCAAATACACTAATTGTTATGATTAAGTAAGTAATTTATGTTAGTGCAAAATGACATATACTAATGTTAGTTATCTTATTTAAGTTAAATAATTGCATACTACACATATAAGTGCAATAACATCATTAATAATGTCAATGCTATTTTTGTAGTAATAAATACCCTTTTTGTGGTATTTTGTATACTTCTTCTAGTTGCACTGATCAGAACAAAAGCTGTAGGATATTCGATGCGTTTGAGACATGATGATGAGGTATGTTTATTTTCTGTTAAATGTTGGTTGTCTACATTCCTGTCACGCTCATGTCATTGTTACTGTATTTCATGTAGAGCCTGAAGGCATCACTGGTTAAGTTCCCATGATGCATCTGTCTTCAGCTGGATGGTGATAGTGACAAGAGAGCTCTCACCTCTCCAGGAAACAAATCTTATTTAACGCTCTTTTTTGCGTTTTGGGTGTTTTCAAAGCTACGGAGAGCGACTGTACGGATTGACATGACTTTAACGTACATTTACTGAATGTATAGCCATTTCCGGAGGATATTGCGGGTGCCTGGACCTTAATGGCAAGTTAGCCAGCCTTGTTTCGGTAAGAAAGCTAACGTTAACCGCTACTAACACCACATTATGTAGCCTCACGTTTACTGTTAATGTCATATTATAATGGATTCAACTGAACTGCTATGTGAATTGTGCTTTACGCAGCTTGTTTCCTGTTACCTTTGTTTAATATTACGATGGGTCAAGCGTCCCTGTCGAGCCTAAATTCCCACACACGCCAAAAACAGAAGCTAACATAAAAATTGGCAACTTGCTGTACAGTATTGTTGACGATTATGGAAATGTGATGTTATACTTAAACATGTCTCAACATGCTGCTGTAAGGTCAATTATTCACCACACTGTATTTTCTAATAATGTTGTTAAGTAATCCTTTTTTCCCTTCTCAGTAGCTTGTTACTCTAGGTTTTATATACTGTACAACACTATTATGATACCATGTTATATTTTATATCTATTCAATTCTATGTTATATTGGTGTACTACACACCCCATTATGTCATATCTTACTCCATGTTATTTCATATACTCGATATTATATTATTGTACTATAGCACATACTATATGGTAATTAGAGCGGCCACCATTATCGATTAGTCGATCACCAGAGAAATTATCATTGTATTATTCAAAACAATCGATCGTTTATTTTTCTTTCAACATATCAAACATGCTGTTTTTGTCCTTATTACATATGGAGATATCTTAAGATATTAAGACATTTTAAGATATCACTTTACACGTTTTGTTTACTATGACATATTATAGGCCAAATGATAGTTAAATTAATCTAAAGAATCGTCTGCAGATAAATTAGACATCTTTAGTTGCAGCCCTCACCTGTATGTTATGCTATCTTATATTGCTGTACTATACTCAACCCATATACTTTGTCTTATTATTGTACTATAATAAAGATATTATGTTATTCAATGTTACTACACCACTACACCTTGTTAGGCATCACATGCTGTATCATATTGTACCATGATACTAACGATATTACGGTTATATGTTACATTGAATCTGGTTCTGTATTTTATTTTGTCAATACAGTCAAACATGATTTGCCCCTCTTTATAAATGAAGTGTACAAATTGTTGAGTCAGCTGCTATTAATCACCACTCACTTTAACAAAGTCTATGGGTTGAGTATAGTCTTGTCTCTAAATTTCTATTTTGAGGACCAATAAAGATCTTAAACAGTTTAAAGCTAATCTTATCTGCGTGTTGATCATGTCAGGAAATCTGAGTGGCATACTATTGGGTCCTGATTTGCCCTCAAAGTGCTTTTTTTTTGAGGAAGTTAGTCCTGAGGCATTTTGTTGCTACTTCCCTGCTGACACCACCTCTCTTTTAATCAGCGTCCTCACATGACTCAGTTACAAAGCCCTTACTGAAACCATGAAAGAGCAGATATGTATCAGAACTCAGTCTCGTGATGGCAAATGTAATGCTAGCTCAGTGTACTTGTAAAATGTAGTGAGGAAGGAAGGAGAAGGAAAAAAAACAGCTTCCGTTATTATCACATGCTTTGCCTTTTGCACAGCTTGTTTGTCCATCTTTACTATTAAATGTCAAGTCATTGGGGAAGCAGGGGTCAATATCGTGGTTATTGGAGAAGTTCAAGTTTTGAATAGTCTTTTGTGTTATGTGTTTCAGTTTACCATGTGGGCGTAAACCTTCCCAGAAGATGTCATGCTAGCTACACAGATGCCAGATACGCCACCTGAGGCTAAAGATGTCAAACAGGTAAAACCACAGGCTTTTACCACATATGATCTTGTTACTTTATAACTGCTTTCACTTTGTCCCTCTGCTAAATGTGAAGGTGTCAAGATGATTTATTTGCTCATGGAGTGTCAACATAGACAGGTTGTGACATGGAACATGTTGTAACTGTACTGTTGTAACTGTACTTCACATTATACCACTTCTGCCCTGATCTTAACTCAGTGATTGATGTGTGGCAAACTTATTATTACAGTCAAGTCTATGTTATTTATATAGATATACATTTTGAATGTATGTATTTATGTTAACTGTTTCATAGGACACGCCTAGGCTCATTATGCATGCAGCACATGTATGAAAAACATCATACATGACAAATTAATATGAGAACGTATAAGATAGGACACTATTACATATAGCAATTTAAACACATGTGATATTATTAGATAAAAAATGGAAGATAAGCTGTTGCAATATTAAGAGAGAATAAAGGGATGATTATAACAATTTTAGGGAACAGGGCCTGGAAGGTTCTTCAGGTGAATTTAATGTTTAAAAAGTATTGGAAAACCCTTAGCACAATGTACTGTAAGTCTGTTTTAATATATTTTTTTACAACAGGACTTGCAGACAGTGTACCAATGTACTGCTGACTTGCTGAATACATGTATGTGAGTCATGGGGAAACTATGAGGCAGGCAAGTGACTGGTCCTAGATTATTTCATTTAGCTGTGATGCTAAAGTCCTGCCAAGTCAAGCACTGTAAATGAAGAGTGCTTCGGTGCTCACCGTAGAGAACGCCAAGATCATCGTTTTTCACTGTTTAGTTTTGCAGAAGTAAGCAACCTATCCCATAATGTAGGTTATGTTTATGTTCTCTGTCCATGTCAGCTGACAACAGTGTCATGTGACCGTAGATAATCTAAAGGCCTCTGTTGTAACCCCATGGCCACTAACCTCACTCAATCTATTCCCCATCAAGATAGAGATTGGAATGAAGAAATTATGCTTAGTGTTTTCTTTTTGCTGTGGCTCTTATATGTGTTTGTGAACAGAGTTATAAGTTATTTGCTAACCTGCAAATCCGCACCACACCAAAAGAAAACCAGGAAGCTGATGATACTTCTCCCTCTCACACATTGTCACATGTAGATCAAAGATAAGCTGGCACAGTCACTCAAGGCCCTTCAGAAGCGATATGTGACGTCAGATGCAGTGGTCACCAGCGAGGACAGCGATGCTAACCTGCTCTGCTGTGCGCTGGAGGCCATCTTCATCCACGGTATCAAGAGCAAGTACGTCCGCTCTGAGGCTGGGGGCCGGAGTCGGAAGGGAGGCAGATGTCCGCTCCCACAGCCTTTCTTCTGGAGCCTCCTCAAGACCGTCACCCATCGGTAAAGGCACATTTATTCTCAAAAAGACATAATAAGAGCTGAAATGATGAATCCGATAAGATTAACAGAATATTTATCTGCAACTATTTCGATGACCAGAAAATAGTTCTGTTCATTCTCAAAGCAAGACTTCCAAACATTCACCGATTCCTGGTTCTCTAATGTGATGGTTTACTATTTTTCTTTCTCTTATATGATGACAAAGGGAACATTTTTCAAATATGAGTCATTGATAGGAATAAATCAAGCTTTCAAGAGATGCACAGATGATCATTTTCTTGCTCAATTGGTTTTGTGTTTATTATCCAAGTCTGTTTATTTCATTCTTGTAACTATAATTTAAGAAATATACACGAAACTTTTTGTAATATTTTTTTTATAATTATTTTATATATGAATATATATTATAACTTTTAGAAGCATGCATGAGAAGGAATTACAATAAAACATATTTCAATATATTCTCTTTTCTTCCCTGATGGTCTGAATGTGTCACTACATTTGTAACACATTTAGAAATAAAATTACTAAAAGGATCTGGTCAAATCAAGCAACAAAGAACAGCATTCCTTATTCAAAGACTTTTATAGACCAATAAATCAAGACATGTATCAGCAGATTAACTGATATTATATGCAATCTTGAGTTGTAGCCCTAAATGTTTTATACTGATCTGCTAAATCTTAGTCCAAAGTGTAATAACTGTGTTATTTCCCCAGTGATGTGGTCACTGAGCTGGAGAAGATCAGCTTCGTGGGAACAGAGTGGGTCGCTGCCGAGCGTGGCTGCGGCTGGCCCTCAACCACGGCCTGCTGGAGTGCTACTTAGCATCGCTGTTTCGTGAGGGCTCCAAGCTGCGGGGCCACTACCAGCCCAGTGCCTTGCTCCTGAACACCGAGGAGCGGGAAGTCCTGCTCAGCTACCTCCAGGGTCTCGCCTCTCTTACGTTCAACCTATCCTACAAGTCTGCTGTCCTCAACGAATGGACCACCACGCCTCTGGCTCTCGCCGGACTCTGCCCCATGTCCCAGGCGGACACGGTCGAACTGCCCCTCAACGGCGTAGACCACCCCACCGCCAAATCTGTAAACAAAGAATGGGATACAGTGTCGCAGTCGTCAGGCTCTTCAGATGCACAGGATATGCAGAGAGGGTGCCCAGGGAAAGGCACAGTGGTATTACAAGGGGACAGGAATGCAATGAACTCGTCAAATTTAAGCCTGGACACCACGGGCTCCTCGCAGCTCTCCTCCAGCCTGAGCTCTGACAGCCTGCTGCAGGGGCAGGACCCCGCAGCCCCACAGGAGAGCCCTGGTCCTCATACGACCTGGACATGCCCATAAACGTCAACATCAGCACCAAGAGGCTACAGAAGGAGTAAGTGTGTGTTTTGATTTGAGCAGATAGAGGAAAAAGGATGTATGTGGTGGTATTCTTATAATTCTTATTGTCAACAAATCCTATAAAAAGGCCAATAATTATTAAATGCTCAAAAAAATCTAATTGTATTCCTGTATGCCATAGAGAGCATTGATGAGCCACACTGTTGCACTGGGTGACATCATGTTGCTTTATTCCCGTGAACACACTGACTGTAGTTTATCTTGAGTTAATCCTATTAAATGTCCTACTGCTGTAAATACTCACTAAAGCAGGGGGTCCCAACCCCCGGTCCGCGGACCGGTACCGGGCCGCGGAGGTGTTACTGCCGGGCCGCGAAATAGCTGTGAGTTTATCGTAATATTTGCAGAATTATAAATATATACAAATATTTTATCATAATATTTTTTCAAAAAGTGTTTAATTTCCGCACCTATGCCACCAGTCATATTATTTCATCCAGTAGCTAGAGGTTTTTTTCACCAGAAAACCGTTGAAAATGGCTTTTATGATGTTCCGAGGGATTCGGCGGCTCAGCCTAAGGTCTCAGCCTCTTGTGCGCACGAGCATGTTACCGGTGCGCCAAGTAGGAAGAGGAGCGCACAGGAGACAACCGTTTGATTGCAGACTGTTATATTTATGTGGGAAATGGCAGTGCATACATTATTTGAGATATATTTCAAACTCGGACTTCATTTTAAGTCTGGACATGTCGGCCAGGGGTGTAGAGCTATTTGTTTAAGCACCGGATTGGCAAAACAGGAGAGTAAACCAGTCTGCCTTGATCTATGAATTAATGACCGGGACTCTCACGGTATCTGCTGCCCGCAGCTGTTTTATAGAAGGAAAACCTCCTTCACTTCATGAAATGGCTGCAGTATCAGGAGGCAGCGGGACGTATACTCCGCCTCTGAGAAGTGCAGCACCAGCGGGTAAAGCTGTGCCTTTTTACGCACCGCATTCGCTGTGTTTAACTTCATCAGAACAGCTTAAGAGTGACTGCAGGCTGCTACGTGTTAACCACACACACCTCAACATCTCTACACACATCGAACTGCCCGATTACTCCCCCTTTATTAGTTTTATGAAGGAGATGTCCAGTCAGTCACCAAGGCGCATGATGTGTGTGTGTATGTGCTCTGCTCAGCTCAGCTCTGTGTGTCGGATGTGTGTTTGTGTCTGTCCGACACCGGCATTTGTTTTCAAATGTTTATGAACAGTAATTTACACACATATGGCTAACTCCATATATGCAGCTGTTTCCAAAATAAATTAGTTTAATCTTAATCTCGATGTAGTGCTAAATGCTGTCGGAGTGCACCGGAACGAACGACACTATCATAATATCTTCTGAAAATAAATGCCAGTGTCACACACACACCACACACACAACACACACACACCACACACCCTGGCGACCGGACATCTCCTTCATAATGCGCCTTCTCCTCGTTTTCCCAGATTCACTGGATTATCCGTAAATCAAACAAAACCAAAATGTTGATTTATCTGTTTTCCCGTTTTGGTTTAAAAACTGAATAACGTCGGTTTTTTGGTTTTCCGAAAAACCAAAAAACAACACCGGTTCTTTTTTAAACTTTGTAATATGTTTTGGATGCATATTGTTCTAGTATTTGTTCAGGCTGTTACATACAATTAGCCTCTGTTGCTACCTGCTGGTGGTGAGTAAATATTAAAATCAGTTAAAATTGACAACCGGTCCGCGATTTTTTTTTATGTATCTGCCGGTCCTTGGCACAATAAAGGTTGGGAACCCTGCACTAAAGCACTAAATGTGGATTAATCTGCACCTAAAAATAGTCCTTAATGAATTCTATTTTACTACTGTTGGTTAAAAGGTGTCTAGCTGTTTAAGGAAATGACAGCCTTTAAAAAAAAACTAAAACATATGTGTTTCTTATTTTAAAGTTGTTTTTGTCTTCAATAGAAATGAATGATCTAGGTGCTTTTCTTTGAAAATGTTGACAATAAGAAAAATATGTATAATTTGTAAATAGAACATTTAACTCTTTTTATATAAAGTATTTAAATGTTGGGAAGTGCTTAATTCAAACCATTAAACCAGAAATGCTAGATTTTCAAGTTATTGGGTAATTCATCAATCAACACTTTTGTCACCCATGTAAATCAAAAATATTTCAATAAAGCAATCCTGATTTTATATTTATTTTTCTTCCCTAGCGTCTCACATAACAGACCTAGTTAGGATTTAATGAACATTATCAAAATGTTAATATGAATATGCTGGTAAAATAAACAAAGTGAAAATATACATGGATATTGCTGTGGGTATACTGGACTTCTTACAGTTGTAACTTTTTAAAGGCTGTTCATACCCTTTATTTAAGCTTGCAGTAAAACTTATCATGACCTGTCCTTGTCTCTGCAGTTCTCCGACAGAGTTCAGGGAGAGCGGACACTGCAGTCAGGACTCCATGCGTGAAGACTCCTTCGTCTCCAGCACGGATCCCGACCAGAACTCGGAGACGGCCGTTTTCAGCGGCTCCGACAGCGAGACCCAGGGTCCCCCTTCTTCATCTCAGGACCTCGTGGACCCTCTTCCAAAATCTGATTCAGAGCCCTCGCCAACATCTAAAGAGAATCATGTTGACTACACTCTGCCTGAAGTGTGCAACAATACCTCTGCTGAGCTCCCTTTGGACACATACAGGCTCTCTACTGTCAGTGAGCCGGTGGAGTCTGTAGAAGAAGAACATCCAAACTTTTCTCATGAGACTACAGAGCCTGAACAGGAAGAAGAAGGAACTCCAGAGCCTTCAGTGCATCCAGGCTCAAGTCGCTCCCTCAGCATCCTGAGCAGGAAACTGTCCACAGATTCTCTATCAGTAAGTATATTTAAATAAGAGGACAGTCTCCTAATAGTTAGAGAAAAAACAGAAGAGAATATAGAAACATCAGGATCAATATATGAACAAATGCAGATTGTGCAAAATTATAAAATGGCCAGTAGCTTACAGTTTACCAAAAACTGATTAAGAAGTGAAAACTGTACAAGGAAATGAATTATGTAGAGAAAAATACAACAAAAGATCAAATCAAATGTTATTTATTTAGCCCAATATCACAAAACACATTTGTCTCAGTGGGCTTTACAGATCAGCAAACATGAATGACAGTACTTAAAGATATAATAAACTTACAAGATAAAAATAGATTAAAATAAAATAAGATACGTACATAAAAAGAAAAACAACAAATACAATAAAAACAATAACATGTAGGACCCAGGAGGACCAACATAAGGTACATGGCACCCACTAAAGGCTTTATTATATATAAACAAGTACAAATACATTTGGGAAAGCTAACAGAGCCTTTTTTTTTTTAAATATACAAGTCGTGTTTCCTGTGTTTTCTGAAAAAACAGAACTTCTAAAACAGTGCTAAGCAATACGTTACTCATATTGCTTAGCATGAGGAAATGCAGAATTGCTCCAGAACTGCCCATATTCTAGGAAGTGACACATAGGACACCTGACTCTTTGTCAGCATGGAAAATCTACACAAGCTTTTTAATCATTCCTGGAACATTTTAATTTTCTTTACCATTCAAGGAGATCACAAGTTAGTCCTGCTGTGTTTAAAAAATCGAGAGATGTTATAAAACCTTTCCGGTGGCAGGATGTTATAGATAACGCTGGTACAGATCATTAACTTCCTGCAGCATGAAATACCAATAAAGCACTCTTAATTCAGACACAGGATATGCCTCAATGTTCCTTAAAAGCAGGACTTTCTGTGGTGTCTACACATTGGTAATTCAAATTAGTCAAGCTAAGTGATAAATGAGTTTCATCTTTACATGACCCTTAACAGAGAAAGACACTATTCATAACAGTGTCTTGTAGCTCTCACACTAATAACCCAAAGACACATGACAACAGAAACTGCTCCTCAATAAACTTACTGTTATCTATTTATAGTTTTGAGTACAGCTCAGTTGTGTTCTCTAATGAGAACATCTGATCCAAAACTCATTTAGTTTGAAAGCATTTCATTGTCGTTTAATCCAAAGTTATTCGGCTCGAGAGTGATTATAAAACTAAGAAAAACAGATAAACTATCAAATTAAATTATGTATTGGCACTTTTGCCAATGACTTTGCTAACTTACTTTTTAAATTAAATAGTTTCTGATTAATCTACAAATTACTTTAGCCCTAAATGTGTAAGTGTCCTATCGTTTTATTTCCTTGCAATAAGGTATTTTTGATAAAAGAACCTTTAGACCTGCACCACTTTACATTAGTCTGATGGCAATTCGACAAGTCGTTCTCCTTTTTTGCAAAATGTTCATGTAGATACAAATCTAAATCAAATGCAGTTAGATTATTTTAAATGCTGCAGCAGAGTACAAGGGAAACAGGCAGAGAGTTTACATGCACAAACTTTGATTCAAAGTTGTTGTGGGCATTATTCTTATATCTCGTTATTACAAAATGTTTGTTTTTTCTACTGCAGCATTCTCGTTCCTGGATCTGAGGATGACATCTACATGCCCCGCCTGGAGGAGGTGCCGGACCAGAGCGAGACGCCTCCTCCTGCCCCCCCGGCTGAGCCCTCTCAGTCCCCCCCCGGCGTCGTCCATCGCAGACAAAGAGGTGAAACATGCAGTTCGAAATCATTCTGGCTAAATATATTTTTCCTACCTGTTTCTAAGAATCTCCCCTTACAGTAGAGACTCGCTCCTGGTCAAGTTATATACAGAGGACATTAGCCCTTAAGAGGGCTTTTAAGGTTAAAAACGATTAGTATGGAGAAGGACTTTTAAGAGGCTTAGGGGTTTCTCAAGCAGAGGACAACATGGCTTGTTCGCTGGTTTAAAGTAGATTAACATGCCAAGCAACGCCACTGCATATAGACTGGCCAGCGATCACAGACATTGTTAAATGCTGGCACTAAACCTAACCCTATTACATAGGTTAACTATTAAAATGACCAGCACGGTTAACAAACATATGCAAATAACTATGAACAATTTCAGCATCTCCATATGCTACCGTATAATTAGCTTGTGTTTTAAACATAAACTGTGGCTTACAAATTATACATCAGATGTGTCATAAGATAACATTATATTTATAGTAACATCATACCTTAATAAAAACTAAATGATAGTATGATTAGGCCTGTTGATTTCACAGTCCGTTCTACGCCCATGTCACTAAAAGGGCATTTTATTTATTTATTGTTTTGATTCACCAATCAAACGTAAGTAATGTGTCATACCTAGAAACTGGGTCCACCACACCAAGATAACATTTTCTAGCTAAGACTCTTCGGTAGATTTTTTTAGGTTAAGTTTGGAGAGAGTATTCTCAGACTGTTTATGAGAAAAAGGCCCTGGGGCCTCATTTATAAACGTTGCGTACGCTCAAAAGATGGCGTACGACAGTTTCTAAGCAATCTTTGCGATTTATAAAAAACAAACTTGACTGGAAAATGTGCGGTCCTCCACGCACACTCTGACCCATCCGTACACGGTACGCACACAAACAGGAGAGATGAGAAACTGCGACACCGTTGGCAGAAGGAAGAATGGAGAGAAATATGTGGAAATAATACCATAAATAAAATGTTACCTCTCATTTATCATATATGAAGAATTCATTTGCAAAAATGTATTAAAGCCAATCTTAAAATGATTAAACAAACGCCTGTTTGCGACTCCTCAGTGCACACAAAAACATAACTTGGAGAAATAAATAAATACGGAAATGTTATTGATCACCCCTCGATTATGTTCTCTTGTTAAGGAATGTATTCTCATAAATGATGCGGTAAACAGAAGGATAGAATTACTTTAAACTGACGCCGTTTTGCTTTTCTCTAGGTTGTATATACGAGCATGGTTTACTATCATGTTTAATCATGTTTTATGCCGTTCGCCAAAGTCGCTCGTAAAACACAGGAGGTATGGAAACTAAGAAACCATATGTGGTTAATTGTACAGCTGATATAACACAATACATTAGTTTTATTTCCTTTAACTGGAGGATATAGAGTTGCTGCGGGGGAGGGGGGGGTGTTGAGACGCACGGGCTGCAGTGGAGACGCTGCGCACAGCTGATCGACAGCTGGAACACAAACCACCAAATACAAAAAAATAATTCAGATCCAGCCGCCATGACTCCACTCCGGAGGGATTCCCCGATCATTTCTTACAGTTTCTCATCATGGGGGTGTCTCCTGTCCCCGGTACAAACACACTGACACACTGCCTGAGGAAGGTTAGGTGTATTTGTTTTGTCATTAACTTTTTTCGGACCACTTATTTATTTATTTTGGTGACGGCGACCTCCATGCTGCTACTCTGGTTCAAACTGCATCCACCAAACAATATGATTTCTCTCGACCTTCCCAAAATAACCCAAATCTGACACGGTGTGATGTCTTTTTTAGCTGTTCTGTCGTCATTTCCTGCGATCTTCTTCATGCAGTCAGTCAAAATGAATATTAATACGGGGCGTTTCTTTGACTATTATATAGGCAAATATGGGCGTTACATGAAGCCCGCAAAAGCTGCGCCGCATTTCGAGTTGATTGTGATTTATAAAGGGAAACCGGCATAGGACGTGCGTGCGCAGTGTTTTATAAATCGGAATATCTTTGTGCGTATTTATTTGCTTTGTCCTACGTAAGCCACCTTCCCACGTGAATCCTACGCAAAGCTTTATAAATGAGGCCCCTGGTCAGTAAACACGGCCACTAAAGGGGTTAAGCTGAAAGGTAAAAATACTGTTGACAAAGGACATAAATTACGTGCAGCACCGGAGGCCTGTACGACGAAGCCGGTTCAACAAAACCTGGATATGTTTGAGTTAGCCGGTTGGCCTAATCCAAAACATACGCGCTCTCGCTAAGCGGTCCTACGACGCGGGTTATCAAGTGGATCGCTCAAGCCAGTCGTGTCCTATCTAGTTATGTGCGCGTTCACATGAAAGGGGTGGTATTTGGAGCATTCGACCAATCTCAAACATGGACAAGCGTGAATACAGCTGGTAAAAGAAAAATGGTTTGAATGCGTACATTAACAGGTTTATGATATTCCCCGTCTAAGACACGAGTGGATCTGACTTTAATTACATTTGACTTGAGTGTTTCGTCAACTTAATGTGTTACTTAAAATAATACTTCTGCATACAGTATGTGACACTGTGAGTGTTGCACGGCCAGATACGGCTCAAGAAGCTGACTCAGATAAGGGAATATATGATACATTATGATGTGATATGATATGAATGATAATGGGACGCATCGACGTCTGCACTCAGTGCCGGGACTGTACTTAATGTTACTCTGATCCGGTTACTTATGTTGTGGCAGATATTTAAGTAAGCTTTCTTAACGCTAATGTTATAATAGTCAGATTGCTCTGAAGATGGGAGGGGATATTCTATTAATTTTCACGTTCACACAGTCGGTGATTTTTAGCCTGCAACCTAACCTGCTCCGTACCAGGTTAGCCGCTCAGCATAAGTTACCATGGAGATCTAGCCTGCTAAAAAGAGAACCAGCGTCGTAGGACCGGAAACCCCGAGTTTTCCCTGAAGTTAGCTCGCTAAGCGAAAATCCGGCTTCGTAGTACAGGCCTCTGACCCTGTGGAATGAAAACAATACAGGTGTAACCACACCCCAGACTGTTACATCACAACAGGTGTTTTCCACCAGCTGATAATGGAAAACCTTACATCATTCATTAGGTTGTAGCCGGATTGTTCTGGAATGTGATAAACTTGTATGTCTTGCGAGACGTCACCTCATCAGTGCTTGGACTATGGAGCTGCTGCTATATATATATAATATAATCTCACTAAATTACATCGGCAGGTTTATAATGTAACCATATCACTGGTCTACAGCAGGTCACTCTTTTATTTCATCACCTACTAAGGCAATATGGGCATGCACTACATTTACTAAAGAATGTTGGAAAAGGAAAACAACTTCTACTGATTAAGTCATCGACATTTTACATCAGTAAATATAGAATTACATTATTTTATATAATATCCTAACTGTTTTTTAAATTATGTGTTTGTGTTCATTTTTTTGTAAGAACAAATATTATTAATGATATAAATAGTTGCTTCATTTTAGTACTTAGGTTTAGGGCTTTATTTAACAAATATTTTCATAGAGAAAAGCAGGAAATCTCCATATTAAGGAGCTAAAACAGCATTTTCTTCAACCTAAAAAATAATAAATAGATCATCAATATACGTAGTTGGGAATGTTTTTCTGTCCATTTGGCTTATTTTTGCAGCTCTATTTCAGTTGTATTACTCTTCCTTTAAACAGTATTTTATCACATTTTTAATATGAAATCAGGGTCCAAAATAGTTTTTAAAGCAGTTATGTCAAAATAAAATGAGTCTTTAGTTGTCAACCTGTCTCCATAATGTCAAAATAGACCAAAAATAATGTATTTAATAACTTACTGTGACTCTGTTCTGTCAGGGCTGTTCAACCCTTTCCGGGGCTTGCTGAAGCTCGGCCACCTGGAGCGGCGCGGTTCGATGGGAATGTGGCGCGATAACTACTGTGAGCTGTCGCCCTACGAGTTCCGGCTGTATCTCAACGCAGAGGAGCGCACCTGCAGCGACAACTGCTCCCTGCTGCGCTGTGAAGAGGCTCGCATCGCCTCATCCGAGGGCCGCTTCGAGGTGGCCTTCCCTGGAAGCGGCTGTACCTCCGGGCGGCCAATCGGGACGAAGCCGAGGACTGGGTGGACCGGATCGTAGAAGCCGTCAAGAAATGCCGTCCAGCATCTCGTGCTGACGACCAATGGGAGGTTCTGGTACCCACCACTGAGAACGGTGTGGATGCGTTGTCCCCGACCTCCACCCCCTCCAGCCCTGAGCGCACTTCACTAGCCTCTGACACAGGGACAGGGGAGGGGCAGGAGGCGCCTCCTCTACAGGAATTTGACTGGACTCGGACTGCTGATATAGAAACAGATGCGATCAAAGAAACAGTTTTGTACTTCTCCAATGATCCCGAGGCTCGGACATGGTCTCCTCTGGTCTTCTCCCTCTCTTTGGAGGCCTTGAAAGGTTTCCGGGTCCAAGAGGGGAGGAAGCTGCTGCGGCAGACCCACCAGATTGAGGAAATCCGGGACGTGGTGCCTGACGTCTCTCTGGGAGGGCCGGCCTTTTTCAAACTGCTGACCGTCAGGGACACGCTGAGACTCCGAGCGGAGAACCCGGAGGAGGCTCGCTCCTGGAGGGTTCTGATCCGCGGAGCTCTGGACTCGTACCTGGAGAGCGGGGAGGACGGAGGCTCCGTTGAGCCAGCTGTGGGGACTGGAAACCTCCACAGACTGGTGCAGCACAGACTCAAAGAAGATGGAGCCCTGCTTGTTAATCTGTGCACTGTGCCCTCAGAGAAGGGGCTCGACACTCAGAGCTTCAAGTGCGCAGGTAACATTGAGTTTTCAATATTGCAACAAATAGCATGAACACACATTGATTATCCTTTTTGAGTTGCTTTTAAATCAGTTCACTCCAGTCTGGTTTGTTTCATTGACATGCTTGAGATGAAATGATGCATGGTGTGCTTGTTGAAGGATAGAAGTAGTTGGTTTTTAGAGCTGCAACAAACAATTATTTACATTTTTGACTATTATGATGGCTATTTTTCAGACCAATCCATAAATCACTTTGTCTATAAACTGTCAGAAAGTAGTAGAAATTCAGATTCACGACATCACGAGGGAGGAAATGATAAAACTATAACTGACAACAGCAAGCAAACTAGTGAGATGCGCTGTGAATTCAAGAGCAACATTTATTTATTTGTAGAAACTAATTTAACTTAGCATTTGTCCCAATTGTAGCATCAATCTACATTGTAAACTCTTTCTGATAAATAACATGAGACTGTTCTATAATACTTTTTTTTTTTTTTTAAATAATCTCTTCTCACTGACACTGAGACGGAAAAATCCTAATGGCAACATTTATGGGGTATCTATACTATGCAGAAGTGTGTCTATGTTGTGTGTCTGAGCCTGGATGAATTTGTTTTCTGTTGTTGTTGTGAATCATGGCTGAGTTTGTTTGCTGTGTGTCATGTGCAGGGTGTCCTCAGCAAATTGGCCCGTCCCGAGGCAGAGCCCGGCTTTGTGAGTTCACACGACAGTACTACTGTGACTCCTGTCACCACGGCGACACCAGCATTATCCCTTCACGCATGGTGCACAACTGGGACCTCGAACAAAGAGAGGTAGGTGCAGCATGCTTTACCTACAGTATATACTGTAGATGTTCTTATCGGATTTTAGGCTGAAACATAATTTAAAGCGACTGCAATAATTTCACATGTGAGAAAAGTGTATAAAGCCTTGCCATGTTGCATTGTTGGTAATGTAGGCACCAGATTTTGACAAGGAAGAAGAAAAATTCATATTTTTTTTATTTTGTATAAACCCAGGTATGTACAGTTGCGAACACAGATTAGGCTACACCAATATTATTAGTATTATACTATTTATAGCATTACAATAGATTTCAGTGCTTGCTGCAAAGATATTTCTGACGTGTGTGATACTAAGATTTCACAAAACTCCAGAGCCTTGTAAGGTCCAAGAGTCAACATTTAACAAAAATAAATAGATGTCTTAACTTCCAAAATTCCCATATTTCAATTCATACTTTATGGCGTTTATCAACAACATTTTCACTGTAGTCAATAACAGTTTGCTATTCCAATTACAAGGGGGAGCACGCATTGAATAATTATATTCATCAGTAAGTGGATTTAATAGAAAATAATCACTTTGATCAGATTGGGAATGTTTTTTTCCTTTTTGGGTGGATGACGTCTTAAAATATGACGATAGACATTTAAAGCTACATTTGTATTCCTCAATGGATGATTCAGATGGTATACAAAAAGAAGACATTGGTTATAGCCCTACAGGTTAGAAACCCAGTCAACACACACCACTTCATCACGTCCTGACCTCCTGCGGTGTGTGTGTATCTCTCCAGGTGTGTAAGAAGGCCCTGCATCTGCTGGCTCAGGTGGAGCAGGAGCCTCTGCTGAACCTGGATCAGCTGAACCCTGAGCTGGTGAAGCACGCAGACCCCATGTCTGAGGCCCACGTGCTGCGGCAGAGCTGCGCCTGCTGGGAGACTACCTGCTCACCTGCCGCAGCGGAGCCTGCAAAAAACTCCAGGCCAGGTGTGTGTACGCAGGTGCCTCTTACATTATACCATATTTTACTACGACATTATATAATACTGCTGTTTTTGTATTTCTCTGTCAGAATGGAGCAGCGGACGTACCTGCTGGAGTCGAGCCATCTGTACAGCGTGCTGGACCTGCGACAGGTATCCTGCCGTGTTCATTTTGTTAATAGCCCTCACATGTGCCACCATGAAACATCCCTAAATGTCTGTTTTTCTTCTAGATAGCAGAGGGTCAATATGCAAACTACCTGTTGACACTGCTGCAGTACGCCTCCAACCACGTGTTCCACTGTGACCTGTGCACGCAGCGCGGCTTCATCTGTCAGATCTGCCACGCCAATGACATCATCTTCCCCTTCCAGTTTGACATCACCACCAGGTATGTATCCGATTTGTTCATCCCCACAATTACTTTTGTAATACTTTGTATTTGTTTCAAGTTAACAGTTTATGAATGAAGACTGAATTTTGGAGGGAAAGTGTTCCATATTGGTTTTTTTAAGATTTGCCTTTCTCTACATTAGGCACTTATTTTGTACTTTTTTTTTAATAATATGCGGTTAAACTTTTAAATGTATGTTGCTAAATTAGTCAAATTTCACATTGTATTTTATATACTGAGACCAAGCTACATGTTGACCTTTTGACCAAGTCAGGTCTTGGTATTAAAAAACATACTTTTAAAGGGAATAACCAAAATATTTAAAGGTGGGGTAGGTAAGTTTGAGAAACCGGCTCGAGATACACTTTTTGTTATATTCCATGGAATGCTCTTAACATCCCGATAGCAATGAATATCTTAAGTGCTTTGACACAAAATCCATAAAAAAGTCATCTGTGGAAGCCGTAGTACTGTAAAAAGCACGACTGTAAAAAGCACGACCAATCATTTTGGTCTAAATAACGGCTAAAATAACGGCTAAAATAACTGGATGGCCTACCTGCCTGTCAGCCTTCCATCTGTGCACAAACTTATCTCGTGCCCTCATTGGTCATGTGCGCGTTCGTGTGTGTTGGAGGAGGGGCTCTGTAAGGAAGTAGCAGATTTTTTCCGGTTGTGTATTTTCAAATTCTAGCGCACTCGAGCTGGTTTCTCAAATGTACCTACCCCACCTTTAATAGCTGACTAAATACAAACCAAACATATACAATGCACATGTATGTATTTAATACCTGTATGTGCAGTGTCATATATAGACAAAAAGAAATGTACTATAATTCAGTTTTTCTTGCCTTTAATGACTCTTCATCACTTTGTTTTGTATTCTTTGTGTAAAGATGTTTTAAATCCTCAATTTCATTCTTCTTAGTTAGTATGGAATTTTACATTACCTCAATTTGAGAATATAGGTGGATCCAGCAAATGTGGATCTATTTTTTGTTGTAGATGTGGTATGGAACTTGTATTGGTTTCTAAATCGACGTCACATTCAGTTTCTTTAAATCTCTTTTTCTTATCCTCTCTACCCCAGGTGTAAAGATTGTAAGGCGGTGTTTCACCTGGCCTGCAAAGCTGCGGGGGTTTCGTGTCCTCGCTGTCAGCGGATGAAGAAATACCTGGAGAGGGATCTGCGCTGCGGGTCTGAGTGCTGACGGACAGAACAATAACTGAAAATCTAGCTTTCACATGAAGTAACCTCAAGTGCAATTATGAGGGCGATTGGCCTGACCTAACAGTGGAGGGGGGTGTGTGAGCGACAGTGCTGAATAGCCAGACTCTCTTGCACTAACTTAGAGTCACATCGGACCTCTTGATGCTGACATAACACAGCCAAATGTTACTGACTTTAATACCTCTCTGAATCCAGACATGCACGCCACGCCATCAAAACCAAGGACTGGGCATCGGTGAGGTGTGCTGCCAAGAATCATATCCAACATTTGAACACCTTTACTTTGCCTTACAGTGTGGAGAAGAGGGCTGTACCGAATGTTTTTACAATTGATTGTCTTGATGGAAGATTCAGATGTCTGTCACCAAAAATACGGAAAAGAACGGCTAACAAAATCATACATTTGAATGAAGTCAATGAGTAAGACTTTTTTTATGGATATAACGTGTTAGTTTTTCAACATAAACACATGTAGGTGTCCATCCATCCATCCATCTTCTCCCGCTTATCCGTGGTCGGGTCGCGGAGGTAGCAGTTCCAGCAGAGAGCCCCAAACGTTCCTTTCCCTGGCCACATCAACCAGCTCTGACTGGGGGATCCCAAGGCGCTCCCAGGCCAGCAAAGAGATATAATCCCTCCACCTGGTCCTAGGTCTACCCCTTGGTCTCTTCCCAGCTGGACGTGCCTGGAACACCTCCCTAGGGAGGCGCCCAGGTGGCATCCTTACTAGGTGCCCGAGAATAATAGATTAAGGAAAATTGAAGTTAACTCTGCATGAGTTATCAATAACTTACTCATAATGCTGCTTTTTCACCAAAACACAAGCAGCCTAAAAGAGGCCTATTAATAATATTAGTGCATGTAGACTAACTGTATCTGCAACTGTGCAGAAATACCAGGTTTAAAACACATTGGAATTTTTATCTGACTGTCATCGTTATGGATGAAGTTTTTAGTATTCGGTACAGCCCTAGTCGTTCTTCACCATCATGTTTACCGGAAATGCTCCACAGAGCTTTCTGCATTTGTCTCGGATGCACATATTTAAACACAATGCAGCAGTGACCGTGGGTACTGAGGATACAACATATGGAAATCAGCACTTGAAATGTTCTAATCAACACATTTTAATTGTGCCTTTTTAATTTAAGCTTTACACTATTTTCCTTTTCTTTGGTGTTAAACAAGGGGCCAAAAAGCCTCACATGGGCTATTCTTTTTTTTTATCATAATGAAAATGAATGATGTTAATAATAATAATAAATTGCTGCATTAGATTCAGATTTTGTATAATAGTAAAAAATCATTAACTCAGAAGACTTTGTGGAATGTTTCTTTAAGTATATTAACTCAGAAAATTTGATTTAAAAATAATGATTCCTTCTAATCTTGCTTGAGTCACACGGACATAATTCACAAGGTTGCTGGAGTAAATACGTCAAATGATTAAATACTACATGGATACTGAAGTCACAACCCATTTTGCATATTTGCACCTGGCTATGACTGTTTTATCTAGATTTTAGTTGAAGTATCTTCTAGCACATGGAGTTACTTGCTCAATTTTGAATATCTGACTGATGTACAGTTCACAGAAACGTTTTGCAGAATCTACAGAGAACACAAATAATAACTTGTCCAGTCCATTTGGATATATTCAGAACATATCACTTGCAAGTACAGAATACTGCAGTACTGTTATTCCTGTTTCATGTTTTGTCATCTCATTTAATACGGATGTATAAATGGCCATCATGAAACAAAATGTCACTGTTTATTTCATGAATCTGTTCTTTTAGGCACAATTGGTCATTTCTACAGACCTAACACGTTACTAAATACAATGACATACACATACAGTCATCTACATTAGAACATTTTCTGAAAAGTATCAATTTTTAAAGTCAACTTGATTACTTTTTGAGCATTTAGGTATGGCTACAGTGTGAAATCAATGAACATGTGTTTTTGGGCATTCATCATAGAATAAAAGAATGTTGATTAATATCTCTTTTCAACTTATGAAGGTGATGGTTAATTTTAAAGGAGATTTCCCTCATAGTGTTCATTATCTCCCAAATAAATCCGATTAATGTCTGTTCAATCTGTTCTTAGTAAGTAACAACATTAAAAAAAAGACTCACATGAGTATATGGAAGAGTAAAAGGGCCAGGAATAATAGAAAAAAGTAAGAATGTAGAGCTTTCAGTATGGTTGCTAACGTTAGTTGATTGATGTAACCTTAAAGTTTGATGTTTGATCCCAACATTGCAACTTTTCTCCCTACTACCGAACATATTTATTGCAAACTGAAAGAAAAGATAATCTTATGGTTTTTTTTCAGGCCTGGTACTAATACTGAACTTCCCACATTCTCCACATTTTCACTTTATTCTCAAAATGCAAATACAAAAATTATCAAATTTTTTCCAAAGCTTGGCACACATACTGAAAGTTTCAATCTTGTTGTACCGTTGACAACATTTTTTTTAAATCGTCCTCCTCTGGTTGATGTTGTCTTATGCCTGGCACTAATATTCTCCCTAGACTCACCTGGGAAAAAAGTCCTATTGTTGAAGAGCAGACTTCCCTCAAAGCACAGGTGCTGCTAATCACTTAATGATTGCCTTCTGGCATTAGGCCAACATGCACGAGCAAAGCCTTACAGAATGCTATGCACTCATTATTAACGCAATCACTCACACCTGCGATAAGGGAGTCAACATGTCAATTTCTCAGTTTTATTTTTGATGTAAACTGCAGAAAGTGTGACCTAAAAGTGAGAAAATGTACATTAACTAAATTATAAATCAATGGAAACACTTAAAATAGTAATTGAAGAGTACCCCGACTTTCTAAAGATGTGTGCAACCCTAAAAGGTGACTTTAAACGCACCGTTGCAGAACAACAGGGATCCTGATAATGGGAGGAGTATAAGTGATGACAGCAAAGCCTGTAAAACACGTTCCGTGAACGCAGCAATCCAGTCGGCTTTTCTCTGCGTAGCCTGGAGCAGCAGATCCTTGTTCTCTGACCGCCACAACATTCCTCACAGCATTCCCTCTCTCCGGTGCCCATTTTACTTGTTTTTATCTGAGCGCTGCGTCGGGAGAACCGGAGCTGCGGGGATGCTGCTGCTGCTGCGGAGAGGAGCGCCGCGGAGAGCCGGCTGGAGAGATGCAGTCACACGGCGTTCATAGAGGACAACACGCTGTATGTGTGGGGAGGCTACAAGGTGAGAAACACAGGCTAGTTGTACCTGTACAGGTAAATATCTGCCTTTTTAAAGTATCCATGATCTGTGTGTCCAATGGTTACTTTAATGTTCTGGTTGTTGTGTAATCAATCTCAATCTTTATTTATTTATATAGCACATTTAAAACAACCTTCAGTGTAAAGTAGCATGCTGACATAATGACATTACCACTTTACCATGAATAATTTAAAACTTTGATTGATCGTGACCTTTAGCCTCAGGTGTTCTTCAAACTGGTTTGAACAGGAGTTTTTAGGCAGATGTATTTTGTTTCTTTTTTATCATTTGTCCATCCTTATTGATATGTCTATGGAGGGAAAACAACACCTGACTTCAAATTGACAATAGAGTTGAATTAACAACTTTTATTTAATAGTGTTATTGTAACTACACATCATGACAGGAGGATTTATATCATGACTGCTGCATTCACTTTGGATTACCTATAAACTGGTTACTGAGTGTACACCTGTTTACAGAAACCAGAAGTTGAGAGCTCTCAAAAGCAACTTTATAGCCGCAGAGCAAAACATGTTCCAACAAAGAAAGCATTTCCCAGTGTGCATCTTGTTGCATCCCCATTGTTGCTATAAGAGTACAACATTTATCTACTAAACAAGTCATTATCTTGTTTTGATGCTTTTAACCACTCACACATCTAAAATCTGCATTTTTGTGGCTTTATTCCTCAGATAAGAGTACAGGTACAAGATGTGTTCATACTTTGACTGTATCTCCTCCTCTTCCTCTCAGGTAGTTGGTGGAGAGGACATTGTGTTGCCCAGTGATGAGATATGGCTCTGTGATTTGTACAGTGGGACCTGGTAAGATGTAGTTTAATCAGCTGATATGAACACTGTGTCGCCTTGACATTTAAAGCTGTGGATGTCGGCCTCGACCATGTGAAATGTTGAAAACAAGAAGCAGGGACTTTGCAAAAGGGTGCAGTTAAAGGGGAATTTGTTGAATAAATCCCAGATTAAAAAGCCAACTATAGTGCAAACCAAGCACAAGGGTTGAGGTCACATTTAATCTGTTTCTTACCTTACCAACCTTTTCCTTTTTTGTGTCCCAGGGAGATGAGGGATATCAACGGTGACAAACCACCAGATTTATCCGGCTCCTGTGGCTCTTATCTGAACGGCACACTCTACATCTTTGCAGGATGCGACCCTGTTGGATACACAAACCAGGTGAGTTGCCTTGACTACCAACAAGCGTGTTGTTTGTAAAAGCAGCGGAAGCAGTTTGTGGCCCTTGTGTATTGTCCTTAAACTGCAGTCATTGAGCTGCACACCTGTTTTTAACCAGGTACACATCTCATTGAGAGGTTAAGAGTGACCTTACCAAGAAGAACAACAAAAAAACAATACAAAAAAACGGTCACATACAATCAACTACTTTGTTTGCTTCCGACATGGTGACGTCACTATGTATCACTTGTGCTTTTATTAGTTAGCCCTCACATTTCTTAGCGGTTGACCAATCACAAGAGCCGGCCAGCTGACCAATCAGAGCAGACTGGGCTCTGGTTTCAGACAGAGGGTGAAAAGAGGTGCAGCTCAGGCAGTATGAGAACAATTAAGAGCTTTTTGAACATTAAAGCAAGGAAACGTGTCACAGTAAGTCACAAAAATTAACCAGAGCATAATATGGCCCCTTTTTTAAAAGTGTCTTTCACTCCACTTGATGACTTAAAATTCCTTCTGTACATTATTCATGGAACAAGATGCTGCATATGCTTTACATTTAAGTTTATTTTTCCTGCCATTATGTGTCAAATAATTATGAAGATGTCCTTTTCAGTTTTGTATCAAAATCTTTTTTGGGGTATCTTTTGGTATTACTGAAATGTCCTCTTAAGAATACATACTTTTTTTTTAGGGTACATCGTCTCTTTTTACAAGAGATCAGAGATTAACCGGATGAAGGGAATGTACTTCTAAAAAAACGTGCAGGTTTTGGATTCAAGAAATGGAACAAAGGCAACAATTTGAACAAATAAACAGACTTATAAAAAGCTCTGAGCTCTGTTAGCTGTGCAACATTTTTGCTTTAACCCAGATCTTTTGTAAGGCATTGTCTGTTAGATCTAAACTTGGCACAATTTAAAAATGGATACAGTGTATTATTATAATAATAAGCTTTATTTGTATAGCACTATGCATCAGGTGCAGCTCAAAGTGCTTTGAGAAGGCTCACATCACGATTTAAAACACAACCAGAGTTTTACATGCAGCAAAAAACAAAACAAAATAAAAAAAGATTATGTAGCAGTTCAACAATTTGAGACACGGCAGCAAACGGTATGATAATACAAAAATAAAACACAATGAAATGGTGATCCCTTTTGGTATAATAAAGGAAAACAAAATCAATAAATAAAATATGAATACCTATAAAAGACACTAATAATAAAAATGAAATAATTAATAAATGCAAATGCCTAAAACATCAACTTAAAGGGAATCTTGCTAATAAAATGGTCAAATAAATATTAAAATGCAAAACCTGACAATATAAAATAACCAAATATTAAAAGACCATATAAAAAGTGGGGTGTCGCTAATTGGAAGAAAAAAAATGTGTCTTTAACTGTCGTTTAAAAATGTCCACTGAGTTGGCCTCTCAGATATTTCCTGGTAGGGTGTTCCACAGTTTGGGAGCGTAGTGGATAAAAGCGGCCTCACCCATTTTATTTTGGGGGACTTTAAAGATATTTCAAAAGCCAGCTGAGCTCGTCCAGGGACATTACATTTTTAAAACTTGTTTTGAATGCCAGATATGAAGTTTGTCTTGTACATCATGTCAAGCCCAGGGTATGTTCACAAGAAAAATGCAGTTTATCCATTTGTTATCTGATCTGATGGCTGTCTGACAGGCTTAGCATTACACAGAGGCAATCAAAAAGGCTTTGATAACACAAAAAAAACCTGAGATGAAGTAGACAGAATCAAGTGTTTTTACTGATGCACATCCTAAGCAGCAATGAAAGATATCTCAAACTATAAATCTCACTCCATGATAAAGATGGCAGCTTCTTGATTCCAATGAATTGTACTCTCCTGTTTGTAGATGTTCAGCGTTGATCTCACAGAGCAGAGCTGCATGTGGAAGAAAGTGACCGACACAAAGGGAACGACACCCTCACCTCGAAACAAACACTCCTGCTGGTTCATAGAGACAGGTCAGTGTGTGTGAAATAACACGGCAGCACACCAAGATTAGCTGTAAATGATACATATTGAGGAGGTTTTAAAATGAAAAGGTGGATTTCTATGTTTTTTCTTTAGATTTATCACAAACTACTATCAGTTTTCGTACAACATGTGACGTGTTCCTTTTTTTTTTCCTTGGCTCAGATTAATCTACTTTGGTGGATATGCGTGTAAGACGATAGGACAGGTACAGAACACAACATCAGCAAGCTTTGTCGTGGAGGAGATGTCCTGGGTAAATAACAACCATGCAGCTTACTGTATGCTAACTTTAGCATATTGCTTGTTTGGCACTCATCATATTCCAATCTTGTCTTTTTCAGGCAACCATTGGAGACGTTTTATTCAGGTGCTGGGGCTGGAACAATGAAGTCAGTGTTTATGAACCACATACGGCCATGTGGAGTACGCCAGAGACTCGGGTGAGTGCAACATGATTTCATGTAATCCTGTAGTTAACAGAGAGGGCTGTAGTATTTATTTGTGTTTATCTGCGTTTTATTTGTCTATTTCTTTCTTGTGTCCAGGGTCCTGCCCCTGCGCCCAGAGGCTGCCATGCAAGTGCTCTTATGGGAAACAAAGGTTACATCTCTGGTGGCGTGGTGAGTTTGCTTTACCAACTTGTATACTCGGTAGTTAAAGGGACAGTTCACCACAAATTGAAAATACTTATTTTTTCTTTTACTTATTGGGTCTATTTCTCTATTTAGATTGTTTTTGTGTGGGTTGAGATATCAGCAGTAATGATGTCTGCCTTCTCTTCATGATAATGGAACTTGATGGCACTCTAAAAATATATTTTCAAAATGTTATTACACTTTCCCAGAAATCAGGAACTATTTCCTTTTTACCGCACTACACCTACCGAGCATATCCCTGTGCAGGAGGGAGCTGTCATCGCACTAGGCCAGCTAGCGTTACAGCTCAACCTAGGAGTTTGCAAGAAGTGTTTTACGTTTTGCGCTGTCCCAAGCCTCTTTTCAAATACAGTGCACTATTCCCTCTGCACGGTGATACGGTTGTTAGCTGTAGTTTATGAGGAAAAAAAAAATAGTGACATCCTCGTCCTGGTGTCTGCACACTTTCTGACCATGTAAATAGGAAGTGTCCTTTTGACCGTACATACTAATATGGTTATGATGAGTAAACTCTGTCAAATTACGAACACGTTTGTGTTTGCAGGAAACGCTTGAGTTGGACATGTTCTGCTTAGACCTGGACACCTGGACCTGGACTCAATTGTAAAACTTCATCAATCTTTCACACATACTGTAGTTATAACCTTTTATTATAGCGAACACTACTTTAAAATGACTAAAAACTGACCTCTTTTGCTCCCCCCCCCACCAGTGACTTCTCCCCATCCTGCTCACCTCTGGGCCGCTCCATGCTCACCATGACACCAACATCAGATCACACGCTCTTCATTTACGGCGGTCTCGGCATAGACGGAAACACTCTTAGTAAGTGTCGGCCACAGAATATGTATCGATTTAAAAGGCTTCTGTGTTAATCTCTGTATGCTCCAAGTCTTCTCTGCCTCATAGACTGATGATGGGTCAGCATTAAGACATGCAAAACGACCACAACTAGTTTTAAAATGACCTACAAAATGACTACAAAGGACAGAAAATAGAGCAGAAACATGTTTTGCAGCTCTTTGTGGTCAATTTTGTGTGTCTTTGTAGATATTTTGTGGTTGTTTGAACGCTTTCCAATAAGAAATATTTACTTCAGAGGTCCTGGCATTGAAACTATAAAAACATTGTTTCTTCATTTGTATTATGGTCTTAACTCTCGTCTGTCTCTGGCCAGGGCTGTTTTTATTATAGTGTGACTTTAAAACAAAGGACATCATCATTGCTCAAGTGGTTAGTTTTGTGAAGCTCCCTGTGGTTTAATCTGCACTTTCATCACTAACCTCTCTCTGCTAGATGATGTCTGGCAGTTAAACACACAGAAGAAAGAGTGGAAAGAAATGACGCACCAACACAAGGACAAGCCCAGGTAGTTCCTTCTGTCACGTCAGCTTTAAGTGGAGCATAGTGTTTTCAGAAAACGGTGTGTTTTTTCTGTATCCACCTTCCTGTTCCCCAGAGTGTGTCACTCGGCGCGTGCCTGGGGAGGGACAGCGATGTTGTCGTGTTCGGAGGAAGCAGCAACATGTGCCTCCTCATGGACTCGGTATGTCTTGTGTTTCACTTTCAATAAGAAATGCATCTACCTTTTTGGGGTAGAAGTTAGCATATCTTAACGGAACGCTTCAAGTTCACAGATCCCCTCAGGAGTTTCATCAGTAATGAAATTGCAGCTTTTACCTAAATCATGTAAATCTTCTGGGAACAACAATAGCCATACAAACGTTTGTGCATATCTTTTTATAGTTGTACACATATTTTTTGTTTGTGCCAAACTGGTGGGCCTACTGCCATCACCACCAGAATCAGAAACGGGTTTATTGCCAGGTAGGTTCAAACGTACGAGGAATTTGACTTGATGTCATGGTGCATACATAAAATATAAAACAACATTTTTTTTAAATACACAGATGGCGAACTATATTAAGAACACTGTAATAAAATACCAGACACCAATAACTAGTTTCATTCATATTCTGCTGCTTGTTTCACTATTTCTCTGAAGAGGCTTTAAATATTTTAAAATGGAAAGAATAATTCCAGTAATTAATCTGTCATCCATCCTCATGTGCTGTTTGTTGTTGTTTAAACCTCTTTATATGTCAGGTGGCTGTTCTGAGGGCTCCATCACAAAACCAGTGCAGAGACGTGTTCATGTTTCAGACCCAGCCGTGCTCCCTCTTCAGGTTTGTTCAACCTTCCACGTAAAATGTCTGAGTTAATATTTTGTATCTTTGCTCACTTTCTGATGTGTTGGTGGTTAGTCACATGCCCCTCTTGTTCCCACCACTCGTTATGTACATTGGCAGCATGTGTGAGTGTGTTTGCACGTCGTCCCCGTTCACACATGATTAAGCAGTTTTAACAAAGTCCACAGAGACCCTTTAAACACTCACAGCTATATATACTCTCTGGCCCTGTGTGCAGGAGGACACGTGTTATGCTAATGAGCTTTACATTGTTATTATGTATGGTTAGTCTGTGCCATGTTTATAGTGAAGGATTAAAATGACTCAATCGAGATTAGTTGGTGAATTGAATTGTATTCATTCAACCCTCAAAGCATTTGAGGATTATGAAAGTTCTCATTCTGACCAGCCAGTGACGCATGTGATTTTTGGATCATTTATAAAAAAAAATTCAGTAACTGATATTTTATTTTTTATAAAACCCCAATCATTTTAGATTAATGGTTTGGCCCAAGAAATGTCGCGAAGTGTTTTCTTGTTCTGAATCCTCATGGTTTATTGCCCTGTTGTAAATCCAAAATGATGTTTTTTTTTTTTTTTCAGTCCAAAACTGATATAGACAGATATTCTGTTTTTTATGACATAAAACTTCCTCTTGTTGCAGTTCTGCTGCAAATGTTTAGGTAATGTTAAACCTGTAAGGCAATAACTTTTGTACTTTCAGGTTTTGTGGATGATGAGCTATAGCAAAATGCTCTCTTTACCGAACCAGAACGGTGTTTTATAAAGAAAAACGCATGGGTAGAGGTTTATACAAGGTCTCTTATGTTGAGCTGGAACCTAACCAAGATAAACTTCAGCTACCTAGATCCACCTCTAAAACTAAAACGGAGTGATGTCCTCCACCAAGGACTTTTACAAGTGTAAAGTTATGCCTGTATCAATCAAGTGATTCACATCTGCTCAAATGTTATGGCTTCTCCCTTGGGCCATGCTGCTACCAAGTTTCATGAATATCAGGAAGGTTTTTCTGTTTCGCTTACAAACCAACAATAAACTAATTTAACCGATGTTATGTGCGTCTTTCTGGCATCCTTTTTATTAAATTGTGATTAATTGTTGCTACTGTGACCCCAATGTTGGTTGTTGTTGGTTCCCTCTGTTGGTGTGATTGTATGATAGAATACACTATTGCCATTGCATACAGGGGTACAAGTTGGCCACTTTGGTAAACTTGGCCCATTTCAATTTGGATTGCAGAACTTTTACATTTTAAATGATCGTCACATTTAGACCTTGCCAAATGAGTTCACGTGCCTATATTGTGGTATCGGGTGTCTGTGGTGACTTTCCCACACTAGCGCCTGTATTCCTGCAGGTGAGCTTGCAGCATCTCCCCCTGCACCCATAAAGAAGCAAATGTTAAAAGTAAAACACATCAGTTCTTGCCGGAGCAACAGGTGTTTGTTATCAGTTATTTGTTATCAACGAGACAAATGTGTTTTCAGAATCTAAACGGTCTGTTTGTCTTTCCTCTGTAGATTGTGTGAGGACCTAATAGCAGAAAACTCTGAGGTTTTTGAGGAGCAGCTGACCTGGCTGCCATCAAAGCTACGGAACAAAATTGACAAGCGAGTCGCCTTTTTCTCCTCTACGAAACCCGTTCTAACAGCTTGAAGACGTCGTTTAAGAAAAAAAATTGAACTAGTCAATTACTAAAACAGAAATGTTCTTCTTTGTGTGTTGGACATTTTTGTGTTTAATAATTAAAAAGAAAAAAAAAAGTGCTATTGTTTTAACTTAAGACGCATCATTTGTATGTTTGTTTTTTTGCCTTATTTTTAAACAACCAGTTAAGATTTGGTCACATTTTCCTCTATTACAGTGTTTAATAATGTTCAATCTGTTTTTGAATAAAGTAATTTATATGTTATTATGGTTTTTACTATCATCAGTGGTTAGAGTAAAAAGAAAGTAATCTACTTTAGGATTAGTATTAGCAGTATTTGAACTTGCGTACAATTGTGAATGAAGTACTCCTAATCCTAACAATGTTCCCACACTGAGTTTCTTCCACAGTCCACCAAACAATGTAGTAGGTGTACGATCTGTGCAGTAGAGCAAAATAATGCCCGCAAAATTATTCAAATCAGAAAAATGTCATGACTTGACACTTTGAATGCATTTAAACTTTAAAGCTGAAGGACACGTAAATAAAAAGGTAAACGTTTCCCTGAGAAGAAAGAAAAAACTGCTTTTTTTGTTTTGTTATCGTTGGCTTTATTTACCAATGTTTCTTTTCATTGTGAATATTTTCCCCCTTACTTCCTCTTCCGTGAGTTTCAGTTACAGATACATCAAACTTTACTATCACACCGTTTTCCTAAAGGGAAATGTCATTCCAACTAATCACATTTTTGAGAACCCATCGGACACTATCACTTTTTAACCCTCCGATTGAAAAAAAGGCAAAGGAGAGTTGGGATTGATTCTTTCTTTTCATTTCTACGAGTTGATTTTGGAGTTTAGGCCTGATAGTTGATGGTCACAGCAGAACAAGGGGCATCTCATGCTGAAGGGGTGTCTGTTAGCTTTACAACGGGTCGGAACGTAGTTAGCAGGAAGCATGCCGCGCTGCCCCGTGCGCTGGTTGCACCCGAACATCCACCCTTCGTCTATCTGCTCCACGTTTAAGATCAGATCGCCTTCCTGCAGAGAAACTTCATCTGCATCTGCTGCCGTGTAGCTGTACACAGCCTGGTAACGTTTCTGTGGAGAGGGATCAAACACACACAGGAAATAATCAAACACAGCTGCACTGACATGACATAAAGACTCCAAACAGGGTGATTTGCATTGAATCATCCTAAACACACACTTGTATACTGTAATACAAACATGATCAACACAACTACACTGGCAGGTTGCTGACACTCAAAGTTGTGGGTCTCTTTATATCTGTTTTGCATCTCTTTCTAGTTGTTTTGAGTCTCTAGAGCTATTTTGAATGTCTTTGTAAAAAAATGTTTTGTAGTCTCATGTCTCTTTGCAGCTCTTTTGTATCTCTTCGTAGTTTTCAGTGTCCCTCTGAAGTCTTTTTTCAGTTTCTTGTGGTTATTTTGACTCTTAATGGTTGTCATGTCTCTTTAAGTGACATTTTGTAGATTAAGGCCAGCAATTGTTACTTGTAATGACCACCGTGCACAAAGCCAGTTCCATAACAAATGTTTTATCCAGTTTGGTGTGGAAGAAGAGCCCTGACTTCAACCATATCCAACACTTTAAATATGAACAGGAATACAGACCGTGAGCCAAAACTGATCCCCAGACATCAGTGTTGGATCTCTGATGCTCCCACAGCACATTAAGACCCATTGATTTGCAATTGTATGTTCAACAGTTGCATAAGTGTCAGGTGTCCATTATACTTTTGGCTTATGAGTGTAATGTTTATGTATTAGCCTTACCCCTCCACTAGGTGGTGCTACCGCAGCAGGACACGTTTGTCCGACTGGCGGCTGACTGAATCTCTCAGGGTTGCTGGGTTGTTCCTCATAGTCTACACACACAAAGTGAATACAAAAATATATGATTGCATTTGGTGATTTGAATAAGAGTGTCAGAAGGTGTAAGGATGTTTCCTACCTTGTCTATTCTCAGGAGGAGGTGCGTCACTTTCGAATCCTGCTCTTCTCAAAGTCTTCATGGTACTTTATCTGCACACACAGGAAGCAACACACATGTTAAAGCCACATCAAATCTGACTGCTGACCCAACGTCTCTCTGAGAGGGAGCTCACCATGTTAGGAGGTGCTGAGAGAGGAAGAGGGGTGTATCTCTGCTGCAGGGGGAGAGGGGTTTATCTCTGCTGCAGAGGCAACCGTTTTGAGAAACCTTTAAGCCTGTGTGTTTTATGTTTTTAGATTTGGTGCATTTTATATTCTCATTTTAAAACACTTTAAAAAAAACAAAAAATGTGAAATGTGAAACTCTCAAAAACCTATGTTACATATCTCCAGCCTTACATATCTACTTTTGAACATTCAATATATATAAATTAAATTAGCTTATTAACAATTACCTATATGCAGATTGATTGATTAGAGAAGAATGTTGTGAAGAACTATTGGCTAATTTTAATTTTCTGAGCTTCTACTAACATTTTCTATTTGCTGCTTAATGCGGGCTTTGTCTTCTTATGGAATTATAGCAGAAGAAATGTTGGATATGTTCAGATTACCATTTTAATTGCACAAAAGTGAGTATTCAAAGATGAAAAGAAATAGAAAGGGTTGTGACTTCTTCATTATAACGTTCCACATCTCACTGAAGAGAAACTCCAGTGTTGAGACGCTTAATGCAACTTCCAGTGAGTCCACCAGGGGACCGAGAGAGAGGGATAATCCCACAGCCTCGATGAAATTAATCAAATGCAGTTCCAGCTTTTAGAGGCTGGAAGAGGACACTTAGTGGGTGTCCTCAATAGACCTCAGGAAGAGAAACAGACATAGATCTGATGGGAAAAGACTGGAGGAGAGTGAGAGACTTGAAAAAAGAGAGGGGGGACGATTAAAGAAAGAACAGGATAAAAAAAAAGGACATAATGACGGAAAACTAAAAAAGGAAAGACAGAAAGGAGGAAGAAAGAAAGGATGGAAGGAAAGAAAATGGAAATTAGGAAGAAAAGAGGGAGTTTGGGAGGAAAGAGAGGAAAAAGAGTGAGGAAGGAAGCTCCCAGTGGAAACATAAGTTACTCGATTTTGTCTTTTTCACATGCAGCTTATCTCCCTTCATTCCTTTCTGCAACCACAACTCTCATGAGACAAAAAAGAGAACGTGTATGTGTTGGTTTAAGTGTGTGTGTGTGTGTGTGTGTGTGTGTGTGTGTGTGTGTGTGTGTGTGTGTGTGTGTGTGTGTGTGTGTGAGCGAGCGTGTGTTCACAGCTGAGAGACTTTGACCATATAGGGCAGCTGCTCCTCAGTGGCCGAGGAGAAATGCCTGAAATGTGTCTCTGCAGGATCCCTCACTGCTGCCTGCTGCAGTTTGTTATTCTCTGCCAGTGTATCAAAGTGGTGTTAAGTACCAGTCCACAAATCTCCTATCTACCATCTTGTTATTGGACCAGGATGTTTTCCTGTTGTGTCTTATGGGAAATTGCTCAACTTGTTTCTTGCATCTGATCATCCTTGTTAAGTTAGCCTTTTCTATACACAATGTCCTAGTTACTGCAGATAATCAACATAATTGTTTCCCACAGATTTCCCTATTCTCTACCAAAGAAAAGGTTCCAGACCTCTGAATCATCGAACATCTGCAATTTCCCCAGTTTGCCTCTTCAATTGGCTTATTTATTCAGTGCTCATGCAAATGTTAAGTTTCCCTATAGCAACCACTACCACAGCTTCTATGTGGACTTAAAATGACGTCCTTGGGCTGGATACGTCATTCTCCAGTGGTTATTTAGGCCATCTCTCAAACAGGAAACTGTATAGTCATAATGTCAAACAAAATGGCTGCCCAACAATACGTTTCTTACGTTACTGATCTGGTCTTGCGTCTTCTTCAGTCTCTGCATCTCCGGAGTGTCGACCACCACGCTGAAACCTTTCCCCTTGTTCTTTTCAAAGTCCTCCTTGTAAAGAGCCTGAAATGTACAGTCAAATCAATCTTATTTTAGAAGAGGAATAATCCTATTTGCTTTCTTGCTGGGAGTTAGAGGTGAAGATTTATACTTCTCTTGTCCTTATTGGGAATATGAAGCTACAACCAGAAGCTTGTTAGCTTAGCTTAGCATAAAGACTCTAAATAGCCAGGCACTGTCCACAGGTAATTAACATCTGCCTATCAGCACTTCTTAAACTCGCTCACAAACACATTAGATCTTGTTTGTTTAATCCGTAGTCTTCCGAAGTCACGGCCAAGAAATAGTCTTGACACATAATCCCCAGTAACAATACACATGTCCTTTTGACACTTCTGTTTTTGTATTGCTTAATTAATTACATAAACCCCATATTTTACCTTTGGTCAGAGCCAGGCTAGCTGTTTTCACCCTGTTTCTAAGCTAAGCTAAGCTAGCAGTCTGCTGGGAGTTGGCTTCATATTTAACCAACCAACATGAGAGTGGTATCAATCTTCTCGTCTCACACTTGGCAAGACAGCGAAAGTCACAAACTACTTATTTGGAGTGAAATGTTTCATTAGATCTGTTATATTTTCAATTCATGCATATTTTTATCCTTCACATGGAGTTTTGAGCTGCATTCATGGTGTCTTGGTACAAGTTGAAAGACATCTCGCTGTTTCTTCAATGCTCATACAATTATATTGGTGGTACTGTATGTAACACTCACTGACTTTTTGCCTGTGACCCCTTAATTTGTGTTAAAGTGTACTGAACTTGAAGCCTACTTCTCACAGAGTGCATGTTAGTGTGTGGAGGTGTTACATGCGGATTAGAAACAACTGCACTTGTTGCTGATATTTATTTTGTCAGCAATGATAAATTCAATATAACCTGAATGCAGCATTGGATAAAAAATGTATTAAACAATCACGTAAAAGGGACATTTATTTGAAGTTCATGCAGACAAACATAGTTAGTGGTTGAAAGGACGTTACATCTAAAGCTACGACGGACTGTTATGACTTATGACGAAGATTTAGTGTTATTATATTATTTGATGCTCTTCAGTTCTTGAGGCGAACCGGACGTACGTGACTGATCTGGTCTTGAGTCTTCTTCACTCTCTGCATCTCCGGAGTGTCGGCTACCACGCTGAAACCTTTGCCCTTGTTCTTTTCAAAGTCCTCCTTATAGAGCGCCTGCAAATTTGTTATGCATCAGTCTTTGAAATGATTCCCCTGAGGTTAGCTTCTCAGCCCAAAGAGGGTTGCTTTTGAAAATAACAGAAAATGGATTAGATATCCTG